CTCCCATACCTCAGGTTGTTTGATACCGAGAATCAGCCCACAATCAGACAAGTCATCAGAAACTTCACATCCGACATCTTCATACAAGGCATCGTGATGGATACGCTTCGCAGATGGCTGAACGACAATGCGGGAAACGCCAGTTCTGTCTTTGCCACCGTGTAAGAGGCGAGCGCAATGCGAGGGCGTCAAGGGCGTTCTCCTCTCCCATTTGTTCACTGTTTCAGCTAGAATCCCAACAACTCCATTCCCCAACCTACTCTTCTCATCGCCACTTGAATTCATCTTTCATGTATACCTTATAATCTCTGCAAATTAAAAAAAGAAAAAAAGTATCCCTATTTAATATTTCGGGTTCGTATCAAAAACCCAAAACTTGAACTAATGATCTACCAAAATTTCACACCCGGAGATCATTGATTCGATTCACTACATTTTTCGGGTTTGATCAGTCCAAAATTCGAGAAAGATTCAACAGTTGTACTGAATATAAAGGAAAGAAATTGGGTTTCGAAACAGCAACTGGAAGAGGTAAAAAGAGAGACTTTTAAACGACTCGGAGGTGGATTTTTTTCTAGCTCTGCTCTGTGGTTAAAGTCGTACGATATTATGCAAAATGGAAAAAAAAAATTGGAAATCAAGGGCAGTGTAATTGATAGCTAAAAATGCGGAAGTGAAGAGGGCAAGAGCAGAGCAGAGCAGAGCAGAGAAACGGAGATCAAACCATTATTTGCCAAAGCAAAAGAGATTGAGGTGAAGAAAGCTCTCCATGTTCGCTCATTCGCGAGAAGGAAAAATTGTGGAAGAAGACATCAATCAAAACATACCCGTTGAGTTTGATCATGCAATGCCTGTGAGCTCTCAGGCCAGCTGCTTTGTGAAAATTATACAAGGTTTCTAAAGGTAAGTTTTTTAGCCTCTTCTAGTTCTAGGCCTAGTATAAGAAAATTATCTTTTTTCCGGTCCTTTTATTTATAAAAGCTAAAAATTACGTATATTATTTTGATATATTAGTTGGACTGTAATATTTATTGTAGGCGTGCGTTGGCCAAAATTATGTCGTAATTTAGTATTATTAATATATTTTAGTATATGATGTATTGATGTGACAAAAAATTATTGTTAAGAAAATTTATCGACGCTTAAAGACATCACTATTAAGGGTATTTTAGAAGAAGGATTTGTTGTTTAAGAAAATATCTTATATTACATATCTCTAAGATACTCTATGGTCTAAGTTTTTTTACCGATATTTACGTTAATAAATAGCTCATCATTTCCATGAAGACGGTAAATTTATTTTTTTGGGATAAATTGGATGTTCACGTTAGCATGGAAAGAAGTTAATTTAAATTTAATTTGAGTTCAGATAAACAACTCATTCGAAACTAATTCGAGGTTTTGTATCCTCTCTTTTAAGTAATACAGCTTTGACATCGGCTTCTTGTAATGTGAAAGGGAAAAAGATAGAGTCATCGCGTATCGTAAAAAACAGAGTCATCGTATATATATTTAGTAAAAAAATCTGTTTTACACACGAGGAGAATGTGAGCCGAAGCCAATATTGTAAAACTAGTCCCAACTTTGATATTTTAAAAAGTCATCGTTAAAGAATTATATAATTCGAGAGACAACAATGAATCAATGAAACGAAACGTATAGAAAAAGAGATTAATTATTTACTATTTAAAGAAAGAGGAAACAAAAAAAAGAAACGAAGAAGGGACACAAGTACGTTACGTGGATGGTTTAACTGGATAGGACCAAGGGCGAGGATCGATGATCGTCCATCCAATGGGAAGATGTATTACGTGTTTTTATTATCTAAAGAGATAGAGACAGAGAAGAGCGAAGACGTTACTCACTTTAGCTGCTGTCTCCTAGTCCTAACCACTTTCCGTGTTCTCTACGTCTTTCTTTTCTCTGTTTTTCTTTTACATCCATAATTAATTCATTATACTTATATGATTAAAATATCATTAGGATATGTATTGTATTTGATGATTTCACGAGTTATATGCAATGACAGAGAGAACTCGGGTGAAACGACGACGTGTTTTCTTGAACTATTGTTGATTTAGACAATTTTTACATTCATCAGTAGCAGCACTTATTACTAGAGACATACAACTATCTTTGTTTTTTCTTAAAGAGTAACGAAAAAACTCAATTTAAAAAATTGTACATGATGGAGAATTGATTTTGGGCCTTAATTAGTTAAACCCAGAGACGCAGATATTGGACAGGGCTTGCTTTATTGTCCTACTTAATATGGCCCAACTTCATTTGCCGCCTTCTTATCCTTGAGACTTAAATTCGTGTCCTAGTCCTAGTCACCCAGTTTGGCCTAATCACGTAAACATCTCTCAAAAAGAGAGAAAATAATCGAAATTGGAACATTGTTTTGGGTATCATCGAAATCTCTGCAGCGGCACTTGTATTATTAGATTTCGTTGACGGCTTTTGTTGTTTAATCTATTATTTATTAGATATTTTATTATTATTATAGATATATGTCTCTCTTTTAAAAGTTAAAATGGTTGATATGTTTGTTCCTTGTATAATAGGGCTTACTATTATTATTATTTAGACTTTAAGAGACTGGGGCTGTGGGAGGTGGGGGGCATTGGTCTGGGAACAAGTTGTGTAGTTTTGGGCATTGACTTTGGGATGGGCACAAAAGTCGATGCGAGAAGAGATTCCTCAACGAGGCTACAAAGTAACTGTGTGGTCTGGTCCTCTCTCCTTTTGCTTTCTTTTCCTTTTCTATTTTCTTCTGTGCATTACATTTTTTTCTTTTTTTTTCTCACGGATAAAGAATTATTTTTCTGCAATATTTTACGTTGCATATTATATATTGTGCATGTGTAAGTAATTATGAAACTCTCTAATGATTTTTTTTTCAGTAAAATCATTTGTAATCAGACTATATGAAACTTGCTTATGATTTATTTTTTTTGTGTGATAAATTTAAACATTATGCAATTACCCTGACAGCAGACTAGCCTAGCTATACGAATGGAATAGCACTTTTATATATCTAGATTATTATTAGTTGAATAATTTGGTTTTTATTTTTTTGCCATTTTAGGGGAAATGTGTATTTAGAAACATATTACTATTGGATTTAGAAGGAAATGATTTTCCAATCCGTTTCATAATTAAACTGATATTATACGGTTTGATTTATACAAGCTAAATTGGTGTCATAGTTTTTTTTTCTTTTCTGGGGGAAAAAAGAAGAAGACAATGGTCAAAAGAGCATGCATGAACACAAATAAAAAGATTGTAGTTTTATGAATGGAGAATTCAACCACAAGTTTGACAAAATGATAAAAAGAAAAATACGACTTCATTGATACCCAAAAAAAAAATAAAAAAAAAAAAAGACAAAAAAAGAGAGAATTGATTTGTTTGATGTAAATTTTATTTTGATATATAAGAAAGGAAAACACGAGCAAAAGAAAAAGGAGTTTCTTTTAGTTATCTTATTCGAAAGGTAAAACTGTTTAAAAATATAAAATAAAATAAAAAAAGGGAGAAAAAGAAAAAGGAAGAGAAAGGGGGAAAAAAAAGGAAGAAGACAACCCATCCCACACAAACACACACACGCGCGAATCAACAACAACACTCTCACTTTTGATGGTAAGAATTTTTAGGAGAGAAGAGAGGCAAAACTCGCTCCCTAATAAACTTACTTTTCTCTTTTGCTTTGTATTTTGGTCTCATGCTCTCCTCCCGTGTCCTTAAGTTCTAAATTAAGGGGGTGTATTCAAAGTAACATTTTAAGAGATTTGAGTTTTATTGAGATTTTGATGATTTTAGGGAACTTCATATGATTTATGTAAAATCCTTTCAAATCCCACCTAAAATTATGAGATTTGGATTTTTATTTTTTTAACTAAGAAAGTTCTCTGAAATCCTCTAAAATCCTCTGAAATCATTTAAAATCAAATCCACAAACTGTTTTCAATAACAGTGGATTTTAAGGTGGATTTTAAAATGATTAGTTCAATAACACTGGATTTCATAAGACTTTTTAAAATTCATGATTGAATAACATTGGATTTGTAAACTTTTTACGAATCACTTGAAATTCCACACTGAATACACCCCCCTAAACCACTGTCTCCGTGCGTTAATCTTGGTTTCTTTTCCTTCTTCTTCCATGCCCCTCGGCTTTACTTTATTACTGTATCTCTACTTTTTCTTTAGATATATATATGTTTTGAGTTTTAAATATAAACTTAATAGATTATATCTTTAGTCTTAAAATAGATTATAGAGAGTGTTCTAGTATACATTATAATCTGAATTACTCTCATCTTATATAGTTATATTAAAAGAAAAACTTAAGGAGAGAAAAACTTACCCCAACTATAAAGAAAATTGGCTGGTGTAGTGTTTTTTCAGTTAACTTATTTATTAGAACAAAGAGAGAGTTCGTTGGCCTAAGTTTTCTTTTGTAAATCCTTTCTCTATTTTTAAAAGTGTGATTCACTATTGACTGAACTACGACTTCGACTTGCTTGCTTGCTGTTATTCAGTATTCACACACACCCAATTTAAATCTGACTCCGGAATACACAGAAATATCAAAATTATTGGTCCAGAGTTTTTGACATTTATTATTAAATAATAATAATGAGTTTAATATTAAAATATATAGTAGTAGGTAATTATGTTTGACCGTCAATTATTACATTCCAATGAGACAATAAAAACCAGTTAAGTAAAAAGTCAAATATTTATTTGTGTGTGTTCTCACTTCTTACACCTTAAGGTTGGGTAGTGAAGAAGAAGTTAAGGGCATCCTCAATGCAAAGGATCTTAGGAGGTTTTTACCCTAAGATTTGCAAGGAGGGTATATTATATAAGGTACCCTACTTGCAAATCTTAGGGTAAAAACCTCCTAAGATACTTTGCATCGAGGATGGTCTAACAACACAAACTTTACCTTTTACTTGTCTTTCTCTTCTCTCTCTCTCTCTCCCACACAAGAGAGAGTATCTTTGTAGATAGGAGGGATTTGTCAACGCTCTTCGAAAAGAGGAACCCAAGACAAGAAGCTTCTCTTCTCTTCTCTCTCTCTCTTCTACAATAAAACCATACATTCTCTTCTCCTTAAAAATCCCATCTTTCACAGGTCTCTCTCTCTGCTTCTTCACCACTCTCAATCTCTTTCACCCGCCAAGCTCAAGCCTTTTTACGTGTATGTTTTCTCTTCTCTCCTCCTTTCTCAACCAACAATTCACTACATACATCCATCTCTTCTTCTTATTGAAATCTTTTAGTATCCTTTTTCTCTTGAATCTGCGCAGATTTAAGCCACAAACATCAACAACATGGGATTCTTAGCTGGCAAAAGAAAATCACCAGACGACGAAGAAGATACAAGAAGCTCACTAGCTTCTGGATTCCCCATGGATGACCTCAACGACGACGTCCTCGAGAGAGTCCTCTCTTGGCTTCCACCTTCTTGTTTCTTCCGCATGAGCTCTGTTTGCAAGAGATGGAAGTCTAGCCAATCCTCTACAAGCTTCAAGCTCGCCTGCTCTCTCATCCCTACTCGAGATCCTTGGTTCTTCATGCTTGACCATCACCATTCCTCTTCCTCTTCTTCCTTCGTTTTCGATTCCACCGAGAACGCCTGGAAGAATCTCAACCGCCGCGATTTCCTCCACCCCCGCCGCGATTTCATCCCCGTCGCTTCCTCCGGTGGCCTGCTCTGTTTCCGCTGCTCCATCTCCGGCGACTTCCTCCTCCGTAATCCCCTCACTGGATCTTCCCGTGACCTTCCTCCTTCCCCAGTCTCTCAAGATGACAACAAACCTCTCCAAGCTGTAGCCATGACCACCACTGCTACTACTTCCAGCTACAATCTCGTTACAATCTCCGGTGAAATCCCAAATCTCAGTTTCAAGATCTACGACTCAAACACAGATTCATGGAGCAAAGACCAAGAATTGGAGTTAGCCAAGAACAATGATTCATCACAACATGATGATACTGACATTGGCACAGTCTACTTTCTTAGCAAGACTGGAAACGTTGTGGTTGCGAGTAACAATCTCCAGAGAAGTCCCTCGAAGCAATACTCTTCCGTTATCACCGTTACAGAAGACGCAGAAGAGACAGTCTATTTTCTCAGCTCTTACGGCACAATTGTAGCTTGTGATCTCACGAGACGATGCTTCACTGAGCTGCCCAAGCTTCTTCCTCCTTTCTTAGAGTATTCCATCGACTTGGTGGAATGTAATGGAACAATGTACGTGATTCTCCTCTCTGAGTTCTTCCAAAGCGCGACTTTAAGGATCTGGAGACTTGACAATAACCGGGACTGGGTTCAAGTCGGGATGCTGCCTCCTGCGTTGTCTCATGAGTTATACGGTAAGAAAGGTGACATAAACTGCGTCGGTGGAGCTGGAAACAAGATACTTGTGTGCTTCAATACGAGTCTTCCAGAGGTGTACTGTAGATACTTTGTGTATGATTTAGTTGCGGAAGAGTGGAGCGAGTTGCCAAGATGCTTCAAGGATGGTGAACCTATGGATTTCGTTTCCGCTCTTTCCTTCCAACCTAGGATTGAGGCTACAGTTTGATATTTAGCTTCTCTCTATTCATGGATTTAGGTTTAAATGATTTGTAAGGTTTTTTTAATGTATTCTTTCTCCTCATGAGAATGCAATGTAATTTGATTTGTAATCTATTAACATTTGTTTAGGACAGGAATGGTCTGCTCTAAGGAAAAACTATCAATGCTTTGTTGAAATGAAGCTTTACTTTCCAAATTCTAGTTACCAATAATCACCACATGAGCAAATACCATTCTTGAACCGGTGAAACCGGTTTGCATCTCTAAGCACAATCTCTCTATCATACACCTTTGCTATATATTTCATCGCGTTGTGACAATCTCCACAAATGCGAAGATTCTTAATCACTCGGATTGGTGTGGATGGAGGAGTGCTCATAAGTCCAAACGCAACCGCCAGCTTTTCGCTGTGGTAGTATAGCGCACGCTCTTTCTCCTCCTCTTCTACATCTACAAGTGTGAAATCTGTCTCAGGAACATACCCTTCTTGTTTGATGTCTCTTATCACATCTTTTACTTTCCTGTATATCAGCTCCGTTTGCGGGTTTGTCCTATCATCCACGACAAATACATGGATCTTCTTTTTCACCTCTATCCAACTGATACCAGGGTCCTTCTTCACTTTCTGCCCTTTCATCATCCTCCTGGCAAGTTTCATCTCATCCCATTTGGAAGCAGCAGCATACATGTTGGATAAAAGCACATAAGCCGATGAGTCCAAAGGGTCTAGCTCCAAAAGCTTAGATGCCACTCTCTTCCCTGTTTCTGTGTCACCTTTAACTCGGCAAGCTGCAAGCAGAGTTCTGTACATCGATGCTGAAGCTTCCATGGACATTGACTCGATCAAATTTTCAGCCTCTTTGAGAAATCCAGCACGGCCAAGTGCATCAGCCAAACAAGAGTAGTGTTCTATTTCAGGTTTAATGCCATAGTCACGATGCATTGATCCAATATGCTTATATGCCTCTGATACCAAACCTGAGTGACTGCAAGCAGACAGAACGCCGATAAATGTGACCTTATCAGGATTTATACCCAGAGATTTCATCTGTTTGAAAAGCTGGAGAACTTCTTTCCCTTCCCCATGTTGAGCTAATCCCAATAACATGGCATTCCAGGCAGCAATGTTCCTCATCTCTATTCTTTTAAACAAAGAATATGCATCGTCTATGCTTCCGCACTTAGCATACATGTCCACAAGCGAAGTTCCAACAAACGGGTCACCAGTGCAATTCAACTTGAGGGCATTTGCATGAATTTGGCGCCCCTGTTCTAATGCCGTCAAACAAGAGCTTGCTTTAGCAAGTGTGGCTATTGTAAATTCATCAGGCAACACTCCTATGAACCTCATCTGGCTATAAACATGAAAAGCTCGCTCTACTTCTCCATTTTCTATACATCCTGATATCATAGTCGTCCAAGCAACATCGTCAGGCACAGGAATAGTATTGAAAGCAAGCTGTGATGCACTCATATCACCACATTTTACATACATATCCAAAAGCCCACTGCTGACCCATAGATCTAAGTGATATCCAGATTTGATTGCATAGGCATGGACTTGTCTTCCTTGATTTATTGCAAACAAGGAACCACATGTCTTAATCACTGTTGCGAGCGTAAAATCATCAGATCTCTCTCCCTGTTTATGCATCAAAGCAAAGAGCTTCAGAGTCTTATGACCGTCATGACTTTGGGTGTAACCAGACATCATGGCATTCCAAGCGACAAGATCAAACTTACTCCTCTCAAACAAAACCTCTGCCTCAGTCATACATCTGTTCCGAGAGTAGGCATCAATCAGAGCAGTAGAGACAAAACTGTCAGCAACATTGTTGATTTTAATTGCATGAACATGAACTTGTTTGTTCAACGACAAGCCTTCAGGCAGAGAGGAAGCAGCCTTTAGAATACTCGTCATAGTATACTGGTCTGGTGTAAGGCCGTAACGTAAAAGCTGCATAAAGAGACACACTGCTTCCATTTCTAGGCCACTTTGAGAAAATCCGGCAATAACTGAGTTCCACGAAATCAAATCTCTTTCACTCATAGTATGAAATACTGTCCTAGCGAAACCAATTTTTCTCAGTTTACAATACATGTTAATTAGACTATTTGCAACGGTGAGCATCCTATCAATTCCTAACTTCAATGCCAGACAATGAACTTGCTGCCCTAGTGCTAAACTATCTAATCTAACAGCTGTAGCTAACACTAAAATAAATGTGACTTGATCACATACCAAGTCGGACTCAACCATATCCCCAAAACATTTGAGAAGAGCTGAATATTGGCCTGCATGGAGATATTCACTCAATCTTTTGTTATTGGATATTATCTCTGAAACACCAGAAGCATCATCACCATGTGCAAAGGATTTGACTTGTCCTGCTTCAGAATCATCACCAGAAATTCTAGCGAGTAAACGGGAAGTGATTTCATTGGGATGTAAGCCACTTCTATGAAATTCAGAAGAGAGACCTATGGCTTCTTCCTTAAAACCCATATCCAGATAGGCCTTCAACATCAAGTTCCATAACACCACATCTCTATAAGGCATCTCCTCGAACAAAACTTTACCTTGCTTAACCTGACCAAACTTCAAATAGATATTAACGAGAGCTCCGGCAACAAATTCATCTCCGTCCAAACCAATCTTGCAAGCATACCCATGAAATGACTCTGAAGCCCACACATAACCAGAGTTCAAACACAGTTTCAACATTGGAGCCAGAGTCATTCGACTGGTATACACAACGTTCTGGCGTAAAGTCCGGAAAAGAAGAAAAGCTTCTTCAATGTTCTCGACAGAAGCAGATTCGGAAAACTGGGCATAGGCAGCTAAAACTGAGTTCCAGGAAACAAGATCTCTTTCAGGCATTAGGTCGAACACTCGGCGGGCGTAAGTGAGTGATCCACACTTGGAGTACATGGAAATGAGATTGTTGACCAGGAATCGTTCTGGGATTTCCTCGGAGGATAGGATACGTGCGTGCGTACATTTTCCGAGGGTCAAGTCCGACGTGGAGATTGCATCCCGAAGAAATCCGAACCATTGTGAGGAAGAAGAAAACGGCGAAGCCGAAGCAGCAGAAGTAAGACGAAGAGGAGGAGGAAACAAGAGGAGACATTGAACTTTGGGAGATGTATGAAAGGAGAAAGGGATGGCCTTGAAGGTCGCTCTTGCTCGCATGATAGGGTTTAAAATGTAACCTTTTTAAAGATGAGTTCAGGTGGTTGTCTTGCAAATCAAGCAACTCATAACTCAAAAATTTTACTTAAAAAATCATGAACACTTTTCCAATCAGCAGCTAATAACAAGACCTTTTTTTTACTGCGTCCAAATTAATTAGTATACTGTAAGATTCAAACTATTATAACAACAAAACAAAGTTTTCGATATTTATCAATTAATCCAGACATCCGTTTATAAGAGACTTTTTTTTGTTTCTTTTCTTCTTTTATGAAAATTGCAAAAAACATACAAATATTGAAAAATGAACATATTGATTATCCACTAGTTTCAAAAATATTGACCTAGCTAACATGAAGATGTTTTTTCTTTTTCTTTTTTCGTTTATATAGATTTGACTGTTGAAGTTGTGAGGAATGATCGATGAGTCCCAAATCCCGAGTTTAGAAGTCTGAATGAAGTCTGACAATATCCAAAGTACGTACGACTTTGCACCCGAATTTTGTGTGTTGTTATCTATAATCATGTGATCAAATTGTGGTCGTAGTTGGAATTCTCACGATCATACTTTTTGTGACCAGTGAAAATGTCCTTTGGAGATCTCAAATACATACTATGCTAGTTACTACACTTGATTGTACTGATCAAAGCTAGGTTCCCCCATGCCCAATACTGCCCAAGACTTTTAATGTTTTTGTTTTTATTTTTATGGTACCCCCAAGTCTTTGCCTCTTTGGTATGGAAAAAACACAAAATACAAAGAATGGAAACAAATACTCCATTATTAAAAAAAAAATACATAATTCCTTTAACGTACACGTCCCTACACATTGAATAAAAGGATTATATATTTCAATGATCTTTCTAGATTAAGTCTTTTTTTGTCAATTTTTCTCACCCTTCTTTCTCATACTCTCTCTCTCTTTCTTTCTTTCTTTCTCGATCAAGAAGAGCGAGAGGCTATTTATTATATGTGGATGTCGTCATACCTCAGCCCGACGCGCTTTCTAGAAGGCTACCTCCGCCGTTGCCTCAAGGGGGCAGGACTGACGTCTCAGACTCTTTCCATAGACTCTGAAACGACCATCCACTTCTGGGGCCCACCTCACCGGAGCGACGACGACGACAGACCGGCGATGCTTCTCCTCCACGGCTTCGGTCCATCGTCCATGTGGCAGTGGCGGCGACAGATCCAAGCCTTCTCTCCCTCCGTTTTCAGGCTTTATTCTCCCGATCTTGTCTTCTTCGGCGACTCTACCACTTCCTCCACCCACCGCACCGAAGTCTTCCAGGTTCTTTTTTTTTCTTTATCATAAACCTCTCTTCTGGTCTCTTTTGTTCTCTCTCTCTCTATATATATATTTGCATGTTTTGGTTCCACTTATATATTTCCCACTAGATTAATTTACCGATTATAATAAAAATGAAGAAACAGAATTTGAGAATGACTATTACGAACAAAACTCGGTTATTAGAACTCTAATTTGTGTTTAATTAGATAAAAAGAAAACTGTTAGAAGTGTTTTTTTAATATACATAGCAAACACATACTTATATCTTAATAAAAATAAAAAATCAGGCGGAATGTATGGCAAAGCTAATGGAGAAATTAGGAATAGACAAGTATAATGTGGTTGGAACAAGCTACGGCGGTTTTGTGGCGTACCATATGGCAAAAATGTGGCCTGAAAAAGTGGAGAAAGTAGTGATTGCAAGCTCTGGCATCAACATGCGAAAGTGTGACAGTGAGAGTTTATTGCAACGATCCAACTGTGAGTGCATCGAGAAAGTTATGTTACCATCCACTGCAACTGAGCTTCGCACCCTTATGGCTTTGGCTTCTTCTTCGCGGATTCTTCGTATGTTCCCTGATGCTCTCTGGAACGACGTTATTACTGTAAGTAGCCTAAACTATTAATTCTCTTCTTCTTTTTTTTGCCTCCATATGCTGTCATCTTAATTAATGATTATCAAACGTTTATTGAGACATTTTATTTTCTAGCTTAATTTTGAAACTAATCCGGACTTATAATCATATATGTAGAACTTATATAAAAAGAATAGAACAGAGAAGATAGAACTACTGAAGGGGGTGACTTTTGGCCGGAACGAGAATTTAAACATCGATCCTCTTTCTCAGGTATGTTAATATGTACTGCTTGTTCTTTTACTATTATTCAAACATGTCACAAAACTACGTCTTTAATTACGTAATTTACTTCAAAGTTAATATGAGTTCATATAGTTAAATGCACTACTCATCTTACTAATAGGAGGTCCTAATAGTATGGGGAGACAAAGATCAGATATTTCCTGTGAAGATGGCTTACGAATTGAAAGAGTAAGTAAAATTATATCTTGTACTCAAGTTTTGACGTATATATATACTAAATGAATCGTTTTTATATATATCAACATTTTTAAGCTTATTATTTAAATCATAGTTATAAATTAACAATGGTTGGTATTTATATTTGTGTAGGGTTCTTGGAGACAAAACGAAACTAGAAATTATTGACAACACTTCGCACGTTCCTCAGATTGAATGTGCACAAGAGTTCAACAATATCGTTTTGAGATTTTTGAAGGGTTCTTAAGAGCGTTAATTTTGTGTACGTGCTACATGATTCTTCAGCTTGTTTAGTGTTAAACTATTCATGACGTAACCTTGCTTCTTTACTTGCCATGCTTTCTCATATGGTGTCAGACCAAAAAAAAGTAATTTTAATACGGAAACAAATTTTCCCTAATATGTTTTATTGTTCTTTCCATTGTATGACTTAACTCCTTGTATAAGTTTAATATATGTGAAAACATTGAGATGCAAATTGGTGCGAACGGAGTGAGTTACGAGTTGGGTTGGCCACCAATAAAAAGGAGTAAAGGACAAAACTGAGTGGGTTCAAAGTTGGTGGTTTCCCAAACTGCCAAAACAATATATAATTATATAAATCACTTTCTTGTAGAAAAAAAAAAAGCCACAATTGCTAACCACGTATGCCCTCGTTACCAAATCCCTCACGGAAATGTGCGAATCGTCGTCGGCAAGTTTGCCCATTACCGTTTTAGTAAAGAAAAAACTCAGAACGAATTGAAAACCATGGATCTCAAAAGAATAATGAGAATTCATTCAATACATAATATTTACAAAGATGTTCTACCATTTACAGTCCAAACAAAAGAAAAATACTGACAAACTACAAACATTTGATTTGGCCATTATCATATAGTATAATTCTACAATTACCAAGTCTAAGCTTCCTTTGTTCATTCTCTTTAATGAGAATATTGCATTTACCAAATTGTTTTTTCAACTCTAATTGATGCCTAATCAAGCTCATATGCATCAAATGATCTGCTTCGAGGCTGAAGCTGTGGAGGGTTTCTTCACAAGGGACTGTGCACAAGTATATTCTGATACGAATTTTGGTGGTTCTATTTCAGATGGGTCTAATACTGGAATAGCCTTGTCTATATCTTCTGCAGAGAAAGGAATGCTGCACACACACAAACAAAAGAGAAACGATAAATATAGTGTAGACTACTTATCCTAAATCAGAGTTAGATAAACTTGATTAAAGAGACCCTTAACTCTCAACCAAATGCCCAACCAAACCCTAAATGCTAAAAGCTTTTTACAGTCTAAAAGTATTCTCAGAACTTCAAATGACCTTCGTCAAGCTAGATATAAAAAATTTCTGTCTATACCATATTCTTCTACTTTTGTATAACTAAACTTGAGAACCAAATAACTGTTGAGATATTTCATTCAAATGAAACAAAAAAAAAAAGAATAACGGAAGAGAATAATAATACCTCATATCATCATCCAACAAGAATGAATTCGTAGTTAGTTTTTGGTTATCCTTGTCCAAAAGAACTCTCATTTGAGTAACCACCTACAGCGCAAAGACATGAGAAGGTGTTTTAATAGACATTCAACCCAATTAAACCTCCAGGTTTGGGACTCTGGAAATTACTCACCTCATTTGAGACACTTTGAGTTCCATATTTATCGTCCCAGTACATTGTACTTATTCGATATATTTGCCTTATTGTCAATACCTATTACAGAATAAAATAGTGCAGAGTATTTCATGAGACTGCAAAACTGCTTTAATGCCTGGAATTAAAACCAACAAAACCGGAAGCTAAGACAAAATAACAACATACCGGGCACAGATCCTGCCTGATTTCATCCAATGATTTCTTTCTTTTTTGGTGTATTACCTAGGATGGAATTAAAAATTGCATTAAATACAAACCAGTTAAAATGCAAATTCCCGTTCAAAAAAGAAACACGCTTTTTCTTTATCAGAGAAGATGAGTTTTACCAAGAATCCAACAGCTTGTCTAATGTAATTTAACTCATGCCAAGATGTTCCTGCAAACTGCATTCATAAAGTTTTAGATCACAGATAGCATCCATCTAAAAAGCAACCAACGGGTGTATAACATGGTGTACCTCTTCCTTTGCATTGGCTATCCACTTCTCCAATTCTGAAATCCCAGATTTCACATATTCCCCATTTGAAAATGTGCAACATTCACGACGAAGAAGAAGACTGAAAAAGAATTCAGATTAAATATGCAGAAACAAAAGTAATCTGCAGTATGCGATACAACAAAGAACTGAAATTAAGATCACATTTACCTGTTGAAAAGTGATAGGTTGATAAATGAGAAAACCTGAGTCACAAGTTTGCGAATGAAGAACGAGGGTACCTACGAATACAATAGTCAGGTTAGAAAAGATTAAAAAAACAATGAAGATATTCTTAAAGCACAAAGAACCATGGTACATGACCAGTCGAATTGCTAAACCTCACATGTGGAGAAACAGGAAAAGAACAAAGTACTATTTCTAAGACATAATTTAGAGCAATAAAATTTACATAAACTCAGCAGAATGGATGTTTATCCTTGGCAAAAAAAAACACTTCATATGAAGCTGCGTCGGTAGAAACAGACATTATAAGTGAAACTATGGTATATACATACATGATTTTCGCGTAGGCGGGACATAAGAGAATCCAAGAATTTGAGTATACTTTCCCATTGACTACTTGGTGATTGCTGCGGCACACCACCTGGTGATCTAGATTTTCCAGCAATTCCTCGTGAAGCTTTGGGTGCCTTGAGAATCATTAAAGAAACACGTGAAAAATCACAACATATTTCCCCAAAAATTTCTTGTATATAGAAACTAAAATGATGAATCTCCACCACAACTCAGTAGAATACAATTTTTTTATAAGGCTAGCTTCACTAAATTGTTGTTTTCTGATGAATAAAAGGTACCAACAATCAGTCAGATCTTCTGTCACATAAAAAAACATACAATGCTGTATACAGTTTGATACTAAGTACTTCAAATAAGAAACCGTAATTTTTTAATTTTATCTTCCCACCAAACGGCGTATAAAGTCCCTGTAACAGAGTATTTTGACGAACTAAAAACAGTTTTATCCCATCAATAATCTAGACACGCAACATCAGAGCTGCTGAATATGTATCTAATTTTGAATTCTTACCTGAATGCATGATCCCAGAAGCGGTGATAATTCCTTTTTCAAATTATCACGAATTAAACCATATATCTTCTCCACACATGCTGTCAGCTGCTGTTTAAATAATAAAGCTGGATATCTTGCTTCTATGTGCGAACCACCATCGTCAGGTCCATGAAGTTTAAAAGGAGACCTTGCTCCCTGGTACGCAAGAAACAAAATGTCAGTTTACTATGTAAACATTTAATAACAAGATTATACCCTACTACTGAATCCCTATAGTAGTTCAAAACCACAAAAATGAAACACGCAAACTACTCTCAATGCTCAAGTGGAGATATCAATTGAACTCACATATGTAGCCCTCCCAGAACGCTGAGCATTAGCATTTAGAAAACTATTCGACCGCAAATTTCTCTGCAAGAGACATAGAAGTGCTGAAGCATTTGAGAGCCAATATGGTAATAATACACTGTTCTCATCTCCGCCCTGAAATAAACATATAAGACACAGACGAAATCATTACATGAAAGAGTCCCCATCAATTTATTTCTGGTAAACCAACATGGAAGAAAGTAGTTACAAAATCCATTCAGCAAGGAGATAGGTAATATATGTTACAACACAAGAATCACCTTCAGGGCTTCATTGATTCCCTCGATAATGATATTAAATATGGCCGTGCTCTCAGATTCAAAGGCATGCCAGTGCAGAAGACATTTATATATTACACAAGCAGCCAGTGGCTTATCCACATTGAATCCCAAATTTTCCTTTATACACCTGGAGAGCAATTCGTAGTTCTCCTGCAATATAGAGGTAAGGTCACTTATGTCAACATTAAATCTACTTTAGCCAACAACAAAAACGCATTATGTTATTATCACTTCGGGAAAACAAGTTCCTTCCATCATAGTCAACAGTGTTTTTTTGAAAAATTGACAGCTTAAGATGGCAGTAAATTAGTACCAGGTTTCTTTCTGCAGTGAATTTGGATCGACGTGACTCTGACATGCTATGTGAAAATGGCATGATGTGCTTGGAAGGTGTTGGTGTCTCCTGTATATATTTATTATGACTTAAGTAGAGTACTCATTTTCGAGCATAAACAAACTAGGAATAAAAGATATGATAGATGTAATGAAACATATAAAAGATTAGAAGGTGTAGTTACTTACAAATATAGATCTCCTGTCATTTTGGGCTGGTACAACAGCACTAGAATATTTCTGTTGGGAGAAGGTTGCAATAAACTGTTAGTTAAAGGTGAAGACTACAGAAATCAGGATGACGGCAAATGTGTGTGTGCATTGAGAAAATGAAAGCACATGTTTCAGAAGATTTATCTATTTTACAGGAGCTATGCTTGAACGAAACCAGGAAAAAAATCTATCAATTAACAAGCAACATGGTGAAACGCATGGTTCAGATATTAAGGAATTCCCACAGTGCAGTACTTCCGCACATGCATATATCAGAAAGTGCAGCATAGAATAGTAAAAGATTACATACTTCACCAAGTGTCTGACCAACCCTCTCTGGGGATGTGATTAGCGTCTTTTGCCTCAAGACAAGGTTCTCGTTTTCCAGATGAGAGAGTTTCTCCTCAAGACTGAACAAAAAAGAATTCAAAGAAATAAAACAAAATGCTTGTTGGACGAAAATCTAGGGGTGACTTGAGATGAGAACTGCAACTACAAACCTTTGAACACTCGTCTGGAGTTCAGAACATCTTTTTTCAGTTTCCTTCAACTTCTGTAGTGTGTTACTGCAATCACTTTTAGCATTGAGAAGCTCCTTCTCTAGAACCAGATTCTTCTTTTCCAAGGAGTTCATCGAATTCTGTGAATAAACAGTGTTAGCAGAAACCCATGGACAGCCAAGACAACAGGAATTTGGGTCTCTAAGCAAAGAGGGAAAATATTATCAAAAAGAACCAATATGATGCTATGTTGACAACAGAAAGCGCAGTGAAAAAGAAAAGAACAAGTCATGCTAATCAAAAGATGTAATCACTTCAGAGACCATTGCTCAGAATCTCTTAACCCTTTCACAAACACAATTAATATATCTCGAATTTCACACTCTCCCGAACCTGGATCATTTTAAAACAGTCGATAGCAAAGTTCTATATAGCGAGAAATAAGAGGTGTCTATACTTCAAATTGCAGCCACCACTCTTTAAGCACAAACAGAGAATTATGGAAGAGTACAAAAGCATGACCAACCAGCAGATTAATTAAATCATGATTGTAGTTGAC